AGACAGTGGTGCACCTTCCCACAAGCTGCCTTCTTCACACTGGTACACATAATACCTTCGTTCCTCCTCAGAGCCAAAAGCATCAGGGAAGGTGGAAGGAATAGGATGGGAAATTGTTAGGAAAGAGGCTGCAGTGCACTTCTCAAAGCCTGATCCTATTGCCACAATTACTATGCAAGAATTCCCTGGCAACCAAGTGTCCAGAAACACAACGAACAGAGAGGTACAACTATCTGCTGCTCTAAGATCCTTCTGGAATGTTCAGGACAGCTAAACCTGATCACAAACTTTTTACTTCCTCGTTTGTCTCCCACATCACAGTTCTATGTGCTCAGCACACCTCTGTGCAGCTCAACACTCTTCATCACAGGGCTACGGAATCTGTCACCACTGCCTCTGGGAAGGACACGCACGGACGGTGCACAGCTCTCACCACTACTGTCAGAGCCTGAAGCTGCAACACAAAAATCGGGAAAGAGAAGAAGAAAAGCTCACCTCTGTCCCAAACACTACTTATCCCAACAATCACCAGAACTCAAGGGCCCTCCTGCACTCACACAAGCGTTACACACCTCGTTTCTGTGCTTTGCTGCTTGCCCTGAGAACTGACAACATACAGCCACAAAACAAGGCTTTGAGAGAGAGGGGTAGCAATCACTGGAGGTCTGTCTTGAATGGAAGAAACAGCTGAACTTAATTCAATGTTAATTAGTTCACATTAGCCAAATTCAATCTATTCTTGTCACAGGAAAGATAAGCCTTAGAGAATTAATTATTCCTTATTCTCCTTTGTATTTTGGCAAGGTGTAGAGTTGCACAGTAAGGAGAATAGTCTCTCAGAACTCAATAAGGCATCACTCAAAGACAGATTTAACATTAAATGGAGAACATTTAATGTTAAGAGATCGTTAAGAGAAACACTGATGTGTATCTTTCAGTCTATTTTGAAGTTTAGCCTCCTTTCTTGCAGAGGTCAGAAGTGCATATAAACAAATTACTTTAGGTATTCACTTACTTTAGCAGCTAAATACACAAACATCCAAGTCTCAGGGAGACTAGATTCTTTACAAAGTTACCATTCAAATTCATTCATAACAACAACACGTGCAGGCATTTTCTAAAACCTTAAATGAACAAACCACAGAAACAGCAAGTAAGCAGATCAAGTGTTTTCCACCATACTCTATGGCAAATTTGTTTGCTTCTGTTATTAAGGACAGGTGTCAAGTTTACCAAAACCAGTCAATGAAGAGATTTCAAGGGTGTCAGATGTCAGGATCAGATTAGTTTCGTGCCTCCTCCAGCGCAGAGAGTAGAACAGAACAGAGGAATGTGACTGATGAAGCTAGGGAGTCATTATTAAACAGAAAAAATAATACACTGGTCACAAGAAAAGAGAAAATTATTTAATAAAAAGGTAACTTAACACACCATCAACAATCTTGGATCATTAAGTACACAAAAATTACCACATCTGACTTAGTTTTGCCTTTGGGGACATCAGCATTATCATAGCAATCTTAAACAAAATTTACAAGGTCACACACTGAATTCAGGAAACCACCTGCCTTGTGCACTGAACTAGGCAAGGCTCCCTTAAGCAAATAGAAAGTATAATTGGCCCATTATATGTTGTATCATATTACACATGCTCAAGGAAGTTTAATCGCAGTTAACTAAGTCAATTCAAGTCTGTAATTTGTTAACTTCCAAATGTTTAGAAGCTTAACATTAGGTCTTGATATCAAGTTTCCCAATATGGACTTTTAAATTTGTATTTTGAATTTGCATAAGTTTCTCCTGTGTAAAATTACACGATAAATAAAATGTTTTTTGGTGCATACAAAACTCTGAAGACCAACTGAAACCTTCACTGCTTCAAAAGTAACATGGAAAATTTTGTCCTCTTACCCTGGACTGCTGTTCACACTAATATTTCAAGGAGCTTCATCTGATATTTAAGACACAATCCATAAAAGTGTCTAGAAGGAACAACAGTACAGCCTGAGTCAATTGCGACAACTGATAAAGATCAATAATCTAAATCCTGAAAGTAGCATCATCGCTTTGTATGTGCACTTCAACTTGCAAGAATAAATGAACAACACATTTTACACAAAAGATTAACAGAAAGGAGACACACACCAAACAAAAGGTCTGTGATGTCACCTCACAGTGCTCCTGTCAGAACATCCTGGGTACCCAAAATCAGCCGATGCACTCTAACTAGGCTGCAACTTAACGTCATCTTTCCAGGTAAAAATGTTCCATTTACAGAAACCCACAGTATTTGCACATAGATTTGCAACCCTGCGTCACAAGGCAAAGTTACCACAGAACTCCCCAGTGACTGGCAGGGCGTGAAATAACAAATGGCACACAAAGCTAAAGGCAGAAAAACCTGGGAGAAAGTCAGAACCCTCACCAGCACCTTGGTGCATGACACAAACACAAAGCTGTTTCTCCACGTGTAGCAAAGATCTCGCACAAATTGTGGCATGAAGGGGTTTTTTGCAGGCCTTGGGAAGTCGAAAGTGATTTCCTGGTGATATGAAGGAAGCAAAGGATGGCAGGTGGCATAATTTCATAATGGATCACGTGGTAGCAGATAAGTGTAAGGTGATAGATCAATTGAAGGCCACAGTGACAGTCCTGAGCGGTTCTGGAAAGACCCTGGCACCTGGAGAGGGGCATTCCCAGAAACCCACTGTAAGGTGAAAAGGCTACACAAAAAGGGACAGAGACTCCTGATGGCTTCCCAAAAGACCCCAGCAATCGTTTTTATATTTTACTTTGCTTTCACCTTTACTAATTGTACTTTGCTTCCTTATAGACTAATTGTTCTTTGCTTCCTTATATCTTGCCTTACTAATTGTACTTTGCTTTTTATACTTTGCTTTCCCCTTTCCCCTTACTTTGATATTTTACATTGCTTTATTTATTTGACCTTTACCTTACAGATACTAATTTTACCTTGCCTTACAAATTTTACATTGCCCTATACCTTATACACTACCATGCATATAATTTACCTTTTTTTTATATATTATACTTTAATGCCTTAGATCACGTACTCCAAGTCATTGTATTTTGGTTTGCCTTAAAGTGTGTATTTCTTGGTCTTGGTGAGTTAAAGTGTGTGCTAGTGAGAAGTGGCTATATTCTTTCCTTTTCACCTTGTGTTAGCAAGTGTGTTTAGATTTTGTCCTAGTCTTTCCAAACTGGTCTGTCATTGGCTGGGGTTGCTTGAGTTTTGTATTGAGGTGTTATAGTGAGCTCTTGCTTCTTAGGGAGTTGTTTTTGGAGAGTGTGCTTCTGGTTTGAGGTTTTATTCATTAAGTGGAATTTTGCAGTTAAATGTTATCACTGACGATGCAAACCCTGTAAGTTGTCACAGATTTGTATTAATAAAAGTTATTTTGTGAGCTGGTTTTTTGGGTTTTTTTTGGTGCTGGCAGGCTTGTCTACAGTGGAACAACTCGTAGGAGAAACTTGCTGAGAAGGTTCTCCACTGCTGTTAAGTGCAGTCCCCATAAATAGGGTATCAAAAGTCCTGTCATTTCAGTGTGAGAATCTGTCAAGCGACGGGTCTCCCCCTAAGGAGACACTGACTGACTGTTTTCAGACTTTAAAGGCTTTGAACTCCTGGGAGGGGGACACTAATAGACAAAAAATACAATAATACAGGTGGGACAGAAAAATCCTCCTTTTCACGTGACAATAAGGCAAAACTGTTAACTACGACTGTACTTATTTTCATGCAGGAAGGATTTTCTACACCTCATCATCAATAGTGCTACTTTTCAGAAGGTCACAATCAAGATTCTTAGCTCCCTCTCTGAAGCACAAACCTGAAGAAACAATCCCTGTGCAGAAAGACACTGATTAAAATAAATTCAATCTTACAATACCTGTTCTAGTACAAAGCACCTTAGCAGTTCTCCTTGCAAAAATCACTGCATCAGCACAAGTGTCATATTCGAGTCCTCATCTGTCATCATGCAAAACTTCTTAAGAGCACATAACCACAGATTTGGAGCATACAGAGGTAGAAAAACACTTAAGTTTAACAAGCATTGCAGCAGAAACCTCCAGCAGCACACACGGAAACGCGACACAGCGAAGGCAGAATTTGACCAGGGGCTTGTTGTCGGCTCTGGATCAGTGTTTCTCAGCTGCTGATCCAGGGAGCAACAGTCGGCTGTGAGACATCTGAAACAGCCCGTGGAACAGCTGCAGAGAAGCCTGGCTTGTGTTTTGGGCAGGAGGGGGGGAGGCGGGAAATGTTTTCTTGGGTTTTGTATTTTCAATAAATAATTCTCGCATGCGAGCAGGAAAGCAATCAACACAGGCAAAAATAAGAGGAGTAACTGAGCAATCAAACCTCGGCCTAATTTCTGTGTCGTTGCAACTGTAACCTCCTGTGGCACAGCACAATCCTCAAATTGTATTCAATGAGGTCAGATGTCTCTCTGGACTTAAAAAGGTTGAGAGACATCCTTTTAGATGACAGATAGTTGGCAGATAATAACAGGGAAGATAAATGGAAGATGAGGATTTCTGAAGGACAAAATAAGATGATGAGATAACCAGCATACACGATTATAGAAAGAAATCAAAATTCACCAGAGAAAAAAACAACTTTTCATAGATATTTTAAAACGTAGAGAAGATTCAGGGAACAAAAGCCTCAAAATGCAAATTCTTTATTTTGACAATTAGGAATCATAAACTAACACAAAATATTCCAAGAACTGAGGTCTTGAATACTAGATTTGTAAAGCATCAACCTGCTCTTGTACCCAGTAATAAAAGTAAAGCCATAAAGAGCATTAGGTAGTCACAAATTCGACCCCTTAAGCATACTAAAAGCTCCAGCATTTGAGTGGGCTTAACCACATCCCTCTAATACCACTAAATCAGAACCACCTCTCTGCTATTGCAACTATTTGAGAGACATTTTAGGGAGCCCAGCAAGTTACACGGTGCTTTATACTTACTTGAATCCTCCCATCTGAGAAGGTGCAACTTCCAAGCGGAATAGTACAGAAATCCCAGTACCAGAAAGAGGCAGAGGGCTAGCAGCAGGTTACGCATAAACACCAACAGTCCCATCTTCACATTAAATCTGCTCTTCTACATGACCTGAGAGAGAAAAGCACGTTGAGGTTGGGGTCGGAGCCGCCTTCTCCCTAGGGACATCCCTTAAGAGGCACTCCCACACCCACAGTAATCGTGTAACAAGGTAAACACATGGTCAAACACACCCGCTACCCACACCGCGTCAGGGAAGTACTAACTACCACCCAAGGCAGCTGCCTTTTTTGGCTGTCCCAAGGGTACACGCGGCTCCGGCGGGGCGGGGGGGTCACCGCAGCGCTGTGACAGGGCACCAGCCCCGCTCCCGACCGCTCCACACAACCGAGCCCGGCACGGACCCGGCCGCCGAGGCCTGGCGAGCACCGCGTCCTCCGACACGCCGCAGAGCGGACCCGCATTGCCCGCGGTGTCCCAGGGCCGGCGGGGCCCGCGGGCGCGGCCGGGCAGCGCCGCTCGGGGCTGGAGCGCGGCGGAGCCCCGGGCACGCCGCGGGGACGCGCTGCCCTGGAGGCGGTGCCGGCGCCTGGGGACGGCCGGGCCCGGGCGGCACGGCAGCTCCGCGCCGGCTGACAGCTCCCCGCGGCCGGTTCAGCCCGGGTTTGAACGGGCAGCGCCGCCGTGCTGCCCGCGCCTCGCCGGGCTCCAACCCGGCTACCCCGCGCCACGCCGGGCCCCGCTTGCCGAGACAGCCCCTGCGCCCGGCCCTGCCCGCCCCCCGGCCCCTCCTCACCCGGCCGCCGCCGGCCCCGGGCGCTCGGAGCCCGCCTGCGCCCCCCGGGCGCGGGGCTGCGGGCGCCGCCATGCCGGGCGCGCCCCGCGGGACCCGCCGCCGCCGCCGCCGGGGGGCGCCGCGCCCGCCAATGGCGCGCGGGGGGAGGGGGCGGAGCCCGCCCGCGTAGCGGCCGCCGCCAGCCAATGGGACGGCGCGGGGGGGCCGCGCCCCAGCCAATCGCGGGGCGCGCCCGCAGCCAACGGCGCGCGGGCGGGGGGTCCCCGCCGGAGGGGCGCTGCGGCAGCGCGGCTGTGCGCGTGCGCGGGGAGACCCCCGCGCGCCCCCCCCCCCCCCGCCCCGCCCGCACCCCCGGAACCGGCGGCCGGTTCCGCTCCCGCCGCGTGCCCGCCCCGCCCCGCCAGAGCCCTGCGCCGCGGCACCTCCGGACCGCTGCGGTGCCCCCAGTCCTGGCACTGCGTGGCCCCTCCAGGCACTTCAGCCCCTGCCAGGCTTGACGCGTTGTCACCGCACAGCACTGCACCTTCCCCAGCCGAGGCACCTCCGGACCCCGCCGCCACCGCTCTGTACGTCCCCGCTGCCCAGCGCTGTGCCCCGGCAGTGACACGGCATCCCCTGCCCTGCGCTCACTGCATCGAGTGCGCTGCCTCTCCCTTCCGCTGCTGCGCTGCCCACCCTTCGAGCGCTGCTCCGAACGGCCTCACCCCTGCCCTGCTCTGCCCAGCGAGGCGGCAGCCACTGCACAGGGAGCCCAGCCCTGCCTTCTGCCGTCACTGCCCCACAGCCCCTGTCCGTGCCGCACACACCAGCCACTGCCTTCACACCGTCCTCCAGCTCCTGCAGATCCCGACTGCACTGCAGACCCGGCAGGGTCCTGCCCAGCCACTGCACGGCACTGTGCCGCCTCCCCGGGCTTCCCAGTGTGGCACAGCCTCCACCGCTGGACCACGCCAGGCTGCACGGACCATGCTGGGCGGCACAGACCCCATCAGCTGCCCTCCTACGGCACAGCACAGCTCACACCACGCAGCCAGTGCAGGTCCCAGGCACTCCCCGGGGTTTTTAGGGTCTCCACGTTCTCACTGCACAGCTGCCCTGTGAGCACTGCAGCACTGGGGCCAACCTGCACCTCGCTTTTCCCACAGCATTGTCCTCTTTGTTGCTGGCCTTGCCCTTACCCCCAATGCTCATTAGGCAAAGGACAAGTGACAAACTCGAGTATAAGGCAGCACGGGGACAGAATGATAAAGGGAAATTATTAGTCGTGTGGAGAAAAGTCATCTGAAAGGAAAAAAAACATTAGGAATAAACCTGCATCTTCAGAACAGCACAGCAGCCCAGTGACCCTCCATGTGTCATGGGTAAAAGAAGGAAAACAAAACCCACGTGAGTTTAAGAGAATCTAAGTAGGATCATGTCTGGCATGGTGGCAGCTCCCAGTGCAGGTGAGCCCAGGTGCCAATGTCAAACAGCAGACACTGCCTTGAGCAGCACAGGGCTGCCTGAGCACTGCCTGAGCCCACTCCCTGACAGTCCACAAAAGGCAGAGTTCATGTAGGTCACAGGGAGAGCTGGTAGGGACTCACACAGCTCCACTTTCACAGCCAGAAACCTCACTTTGTGTTCCACACAAATGAAGTCAGTGCAAGCTGGCTGCAAGTGTGGCACCCACACAGCCAGGCTTGCAGAACTGCCACACTCCTCTGCAGAGACATAAGGGAGGCACGTGTCTCACTGACGTACCATTAGGTTTTTTTGAATACCAACAACTTCTAGATGCAGCACAGGAGAGACCATCAGACTCATGGAAACACCCAGGTACCACTGGCACCAATTTCCCCCATAGAAGGTGCGTAGAGAGGGGACACGAGCGCATCCACACAGCCCTGTCCATCTGCAGGTCTGCCCTCCCTCTGCTGCCCACACAACCCCCAGCTCCCAGGGCTGACCCACTCAGGATGCTTCTTGCTCTCACCCATCTGAGGCAGCTCCCTTCCCTCCAGCTTCATGGCAAGCTGGCAGCCAGAGCTGGGCTGGGCTGCCTCCTCCAAAGGCCCCAGCTCTGCTGCCGGGCTCATTTCTTCCAGTAGCACCACTGACTCCTGTGCCTCATCGTGTCTGACTGGAGCCCAGTTTTACTCTGCAAACGCTTTAGGCCCGCTTCTGTCTTCCCCTTTTCATCCCTCTATCCATGTAAGCTGGGTCTCTTTTCCCTGCCTCAACTGCCCTGGTCCCAGTGACACGGAGCTGCCTGCACTGCCTGCGCCCACTATGCCACATCTGCTCTGTCTGACCCCAAACCTCACCTAAACTGTCCCAACTGTACCACTCGGCCTTTGAACCCCACGGTGTGCAGGCACAGCAGGTGATCTGATTTCAACGATGAGATAAGCAGGGACCTACAGCACGAAGCCAAACAGTGACAAGGCTGGGGCTTGCTCCTGAACCCGTGTTTGTCACTCGGGAAACCCTACCCCCGTTATCAGGTGTCGGTGTGCTGGAAAGGATGAAGTCACACTTCTTGCCAGCCTGGAAAAAACTCAGGAGAGAAGCACTGTGTATCTTTGAAAATCAGGTACCAGCGCCTGGCAGCCGTCTAACAGCCATGAGATGAATTAACACAGTGATTAGTGGAGTGATTTGGTTCAAGTAGCAAGACTTCAGTCTGAGCGTGTTCCTACTTAGCTTATACGTTTCATTCGTAGGCAGATGTCAAGCTGGATGTTGCTAGGAGATAGACAGCAGGGGAATAATTAAGTCTGATTAAATCCTATCATATTGCTGTGCCGCTTTCCAGAATGCTCTGGAGCTTTTCAAAGCCAAACTGACCAAATGATAGGGCAAGAGCTGCAGCCCATCCTGCTCAACAAAACCCACTTGTGGCAAACCTGCTGAGCCTGTGGCTGCCCACATATCTGCAGAGCATTTCCTGCAGCAACACTGGCCACAATCTGGGGAAAAAAAGCTCTGGCAGAGGGCACAGCTGGTGGCTGCATTAGCAGGTAACGCAGGACAGCTGGACTGGTCACTGCTCAGAGCAGGCAGTGAGGGTTCCTACCCCCATGTCCCTGCATCGATGCTGCATGCTGCTTGGGATGATCATGATGGACTAGGCATGACTTGGGCACAGCGGGTGACCATCAGCAAAGCTTCCTTCTGCCCTTCTTTTGAAAGGAGCCCACCTGGGGCATGCCAAAATTGCTCTGCAAATGCCCCTCGTGTGTGGTGCTAAGCACCATGGGGCGTTCCCACTGAACTGATGCCTGCCTGCTTTTTTCTTTCCCGGTGGCTGAGCCATATACTATATGAAGGGCATGTAAATAACAGCTACATGTTCTTTTCCCAACAGTAAATAAAGTTATGCTGTAACTATCTGCTTCAGATGCCAAACACACACATCAGCCTCTGGGCTTCCTCCATAGTGAGACTCCTAATCTCCTTTTGCTTCTCTACCCTATAAAAATTATCATTCTAATACTCACACTGTAATCCTTCTCCCCAAATTACATGTCATCAAATCAAACCTGATACTAATTAATGCAATATTTTATGATTAATTAAATATCACTAAATACCACAGCAAAGATCTCTTTCAAGTAATGGCTAGATAGAGATTACCTCTGCTGATGCACAGGCTTGGGGAATGCAATCTGGGCTGTAAGACACTTGTATTCTGTCTTATCTCTCTGACTGAACTTGTTTCATTCACACACTCATTATGCTTTATTCTTAAGCGCAGACTCTGTGATCAGCCTGTGGAGAATACTTTGCATTTCTGGTTGTGCTAAGAACAGAAATGTTAAACAGCAGCAGGCCCACACGAAATAAGCTAAACCAATCTGAATTTGGCTGAAAAATTCTGCTACCCTCCAGATGTTTTCAACAGCAAAGAGCCACACTTACCGCTACGGGCGCAGGTAAACACCTGGAGCCTGTCCAGTCAGCTCCCTGAGCACTCTGCCCAACTGGACCCGGTTTCCCAGGGTCTTCCTCAGCTGAAGTGACCCAATGGTCCTGCCTGGCAGTGGCTGGTGAGCAGCTGGCCAGCACAGTGCTCAGCGGTTCATCTCCTTGCAGTAATTCCAGTACTCTGTGTTTGGTTCACGCATAGTTTCCAAGAGAGGAGGTAGGCTTGATTTGGAGACAAGCGGTGGAGACTCCCACCTTTCTGGGTCTGTTTCAGGAGTCCCTCACCCTCACGTTCAGAAGAGCATCCCACCTCCCTGCGTCTGGCTTCAGCTTGCAGACATACCATTTTGTTCTGCCTTCTGCTTGATTAAAGAGCCTTTCAGAGCCTGGCATTTTCTCTTTGTGACACTACACATATGCTGCTAGCAAACCCCCTCTCATCCGTCTTTCTGATAAGCTAAATATACTGAGTTGCTTAATTCTCTTTCTGCCAGGCTTTTCCTCCCACCCTCAAGCCATTTTTTGCATTTCTGCTCTACACAGCCTCTCTGATTTTCCTGAATCCTTTTCAAGATGTAGAATCCCACAATGAGCGTCCCTAATGCTTTGACACAGGGATTAAATCTGCTTTTTCCTATTTTCTGTCTTAAAGGCCTGCATTAGTCCTTTCTGCCATAGCATCAGGGTAAGCATTCAGGCAGGATCATCCTGAGTCTTTTCCAGACCTGCTGCTGACAGGTTAGAGCCACCTGGGCTGGTCAGCTGGATCTCAGCTGCACATCCAGAACCCTGACGGAGGGAGTTTGGTGATCAGGGACACCCTCACTCCCACACACCTTCCTTGCCTGCTCCCTGTCCTAAAATCACGGATGTCATGGCTGCCTCTCCAGCAGCATCACAGATCAGTCACTGAAAAGATGAGCTTGTATTCACAGAGAGCATGACACAGGGCACCGTGCCCACAGGTCCTCTGGGGGCCTGAGGACTGCAGGCAGAGTCCAGTGGGATTTTCCTCTGGCCAGCAGTTGTTTTACCCAGCCAGGCATCACGGAGCAGAGGGGTGCCACATTTCAGGGGGCTTAGGGAGCTGAGCCTGGCAGGAGGGAGCAAGCCACAGTGAGCTGTCCAGTAGCAGACATCCCAGCTCACAGTAGGTCACTGTGCTGTGAAAGAGAGGAAAGCACAGAACCAAGTGGTGCCTGTTGGCATCCAGGCTGGTTTGAGCGTCCTGTCTGGGAAATATTTTGCAATGCCTCTTAATATTTTACCCAACCTGTTCAGAGTGACAGCAGTCACTGTGGAATCTGGTGCACTGCACACCATGAAAACAGCCTCTTAAATAATAGGCTATGTGAAGGTTCCATCTTTAATTCTACCCCTTAACAAACCAGCTAAAATAGTCTCTCCCCAGCAGCACCCCCAGTGAAGCCTACCTGAGAGCCAGGAGTAAAATGTGGAATCTTGCCCAGCCCATGTGCCATCACTGGATATCACAGCGCACTTCTTCGTGCTGGTGCTGCAGGAACCTGGAAGGAGCCCAGCTCCAGCTGTGGCCACGCTGCTTCTCTGGCACCAGGAGTGCTTTCCTTGAGTCTCTGGGATGATCTCTGAATAAACCTGAATTTCAGAGACAGTTGGAGCTGTGATGGCCATGACTCTCAATGGGCTCATCTTGAGCCCTCCAGCCAAGCATTGCCCCGTCCCCTTTTATGCCATAAGAACAGCTGAAAGAGTCAGGTGAGGTAGCAGGTACTGTCCAGCTGCTGCCTCCTCTCAAACGGGAATGGCAGGAGTGACTCCATCTCCCGTGCTTCCAGAGAGAGGAGGGAATTTGGCAGAGCAGTGGCACAAGGAGAAAGGTCCCCAAACCAGTCATGCTCGTGCCACAGGGCCCAAGTTAATTTGCAAACATTTTGATGACATAATCACAGACTCTCCTAAACATACCTGTTAATTTTAAATGAATGGTCAGCTGGTAGGAGGCCAGTGTGATTCAAAGAGCCAAAGTAATGGGCAGAGAAATGGCAGAGAACCCCCGACTGCTGCTGGGGAGGTGAAAGCACAGCTAAGGGCATCCTGAGGCTGTTACACAGCACAGACCTTGCAGGGAAACTCTTTCGTTGGCAAAAGGAAAGGTCTGGCTTGTGAGAGTGAGAGCACACTTTGCCTTCTCCACTGCCATCAACAATTCCATAGAATTTTAATTAAAAGTCTGTGTTATAAAGAATTAATAATACTCAAGATTTAACAACTATGTGTATCAACAGCTACATTCTGAGGTCTGTCGGTGAGCCAAGTCTTAATGGGGAGACATCAACAATGGGGAGTGTACCTAGACCCACAGTGACAGTATCCTGATCCAGTGCCATTTAATAGTTCTTAAAACCAATTGCCTGAATGAAAAGGTCAAGGCTTACATTTGGGGGTTATAAAATACTAAACAGGCTGCCTGCTGCTACAGCATGAGCTGAAAGGCCTGGGAAAATGATCACAATGCACAGCACAGTGATGGGCTGCAAAGGAATTTTCTTGGGAATGGAGAGAACAGGCTGTACCACAGGGTGGAGGATCTCCCAGAAAGCAGGGCTGGGAGGTGGAATTAAGGAAAAAAAGCTGAAAAAGAGGGCTGTCTCCAAACATGACTGTTGTTGTGAGCCCACAGCACAGCACCTTGGTTCTGAGAACCATGAGTCAGAGAGTCATGGAGGGGATTACCAAGCAGAGCTAGAGCTCTGGCAAAGCCAACTGGATGGCTGGTCCAGCTCTGCAAACTTCAGAACAGGCTCAGAAATCCTGAGGAGAAGCACCACCATAAAAAAGAAGCTAAGGCTTTGGAAATGTGGCAAATAAAGCTGTGTGGGATGTGAGGAGTTCAGGCTACTCCACTGCCCTCGGAGAGGGTCTCCTTGCCAGGGGGAACAGAGCAGTGCTGTGGGCAAAGAGAAGTGCAGGAGCCAAAGGTGAAAAGTTGAAGATGGGAAAAACTCAAACCTGAAAGTAAGTACAGCATGGTCACTGAAGGCTGCAGGGACAGCCATCCCCACCGTGCAGTAGCCTACAAATAAGATTAGATGGTCTCAACTTCAGTTTTTTGACATCTGTGGCTTGAGGATGAAGAAGGGCTGCTGCATGGACGTGCTTGCTGTTTTGCCCTGACCTGTGTGCATCCTCAGGTTCACCCCTCCTGATCTCCTGTCCAAACAGCTCCAGCAGGAAAGAGGAGACAGGGATTGATTCCTGTGTGATGGAAAAAGCAGTAGAAAGGGTGTGGATGGGTCAGCCTGAGGACAGTCTTCTTCACCTGCTCTTCCAGCTCATGCACATGTCTTTCTAAAAACAGGTATGACAGCCCATGCTGGCTCTGTGGCATCACACTGCCTGTAGCAGTGCTCATCACCAGCCCTTTACCCAGAGAATGCCTCATTTCTAGCCTGGAGCTTCAGTACTTAATTACTAGCACTGGAGCAAGCACCTTCAGCTGGCCTGCTGTGGTGATGGGGCCATGTGGCCATGGGCTCCTCTTTACAGCCTCTTCAACCTGAACCCTGTCTTATCTCCACTGCTCCCTGGTGAACTGAAGCCTCCGAACCCAAGTAACACACCTGCGACCTTCATGCAACACAGCAAACAGCTCTGTTGCTCATACTTGTCTCTCCCACACGTGCCCAAGTGAGCTGATGCCAAAACTCACAGCATAAGCAGAGCAGCAGAAGTGGTGGAGTCAGTGTCCACTTCAGATTTACAAACCTTCCCCATTCGCATTGCTCCCCACGTGTCCCGAGGAATGGTTGGCCACGCTGCCTCTGGTAAGCAACTCCCAGGGCATGCCTGGTCTGCAGAGCCACAGGCTGCACCCCTCCATGGGTGGCTGCCCCTCTCAAAACCCTGTGATGCACCAAGGGTCATCAGCACCTCCCAGGATGGAGGGCCATGTGCCCAGAGTGAAGACACCCTTGGCAGCATCCCACTGCCTGCCCACCCAAGACCAGGGCAAGCATGATGCTCAGGAAAGGGACCAAGGAGATGGGAGGCAGCAAGGGCAGGGGTCAAGGAGAAGCAGGAGGAAAGAGAAAGCAGCAATTGGCTCTAATCCTCCCAGTCACTGGGAGGTGGTGGAGGAGGTGCTGGTGTTGCTGCTTCACCTGTGGGCCCAGGAGCAGCTGCTGGGCACAGGGTGCTGGGCTGGAGGGGCCCAGCTGAGGCAGCCCGGCCGTGTCCCAGTGCCTGCCCTGCTCCTGGGTGCTGAGGCTTATCTGCTTCTCTTGAGAAAGGGGAGAAAGGAAAGAAGCCACCCAGCATGTCCTGGGCCGTAGGGCAGAGAAGGGCCTGCGTGGGAGGGTGCAGGGGCTGGATTTGCACTGCCTTGACCCCTGTGCTGCAGGATGTGGCCAAGGATTTGTGCTCTGCCGTGGGGCACGGACATGCTGTGTTTTGGAGATTCAGCATTTGTGGCAACCTGTGCATTCTTGCAGCTGCTTTACATGATGGGGAGTTAGAGCAGCCAGGGGGAAGTGCCTCTGGATGCTGTGCTGTGTTTGCTGGCAGGACATGGGCTAACAGCAGCCATGAGGACTCAGCTGCCAGCCACAGACAGGGGACACAGACACAGGGGTGCTGCTGAAGCACCTCGACCCCCCCGGGTACATCACCCACAGTCACACAATCCCATGGTGCTAGGTACAAGTGAGAACAGGACTTAGGGAACACTAGGGAACTACTTGTGTAGTAAGTGGGGTCCTAAACAGTGCATGTGCAAAGCTGCCAGCCCCAGAGGACTCTGCCCCTGCCCCAGAGCCACAGGGGAACAGCCAAGCCAGCAGGTCCCTCACACACACCTCAGAGGCAGCTGCAGCCCACCCAGCCCAGCTGCAAGAAGGCAGGGACAGACCTCAGTCTCTCCAACAAACGTTCCCCACCCTACCCCCTGGGAACCAACTCCCTGTGCCACAGCCAAGGGAATATGAACTTTGTGCAGCCATCACTTGAACCACTGCTATGCTGGGGGATGCTGGCAGGTCCACAGGGCCAGGCAGAAGCAGCTTCTGGAACTTTCCAGGGCTCAGCAGCCAGTCGAGGGAGGCTTACACCTGCAGCAGGG